GTCATGTACACCTAGGATGCCTTGAGGGTGAGTAAATCATGGGGTCATTTTCATTTTTTGGGTGAACTATCGCTTTAAAATTCTTTCCATAATGTATTAGACAAGGAACAAAACAAGATTGTGCTTTAGACTGTTTACTGCATCAAAAACAATTTATATGTAAAAGCAATGTGTCTGTGCCTGATACCCTAAAAAAAATTATTCCAGGAACAAATCACTATGTAATCATGAACCTAATGCAAATTTTAAAAAATGAAAAAAAGTAACGTAATCTGACTACCTTTATAGACTTTTAGCTCAAAACCACATGCAAATAGTGAAGACAGCGGACTTGTCACACAAATTGTAAACAATGGATTCTGAGTCAAAAGTCCCAATTCTACAGATGCATATTTTCTTTAGCACATTATTCAAAAGTCAACTTTTCTATCGATGCAGTGAATCGGCACGAATTTTAATCAGCGCATCGAGAAAGCCAATGACTCGTTAAACCCCCTTTAGGTCGTTTTCTCTTTATAAGATAGAGGAAATATGCAATTAGGCTAATGTGTAATAGTAACGGTTTAATACAAAGAAACACGTGACTGAGGTCGAACTGAAGTGATTTTGTAACAGTGATCTCAGAGAGATAGCGAGATGGTACCGATAGAGGACGGTCGTGGAGAAAAACAGCTTCCCTTGCAGTCTGACTCAAACTGACTCACTATTTAAACGTTAGCAAAATCTCCTGTGGCTTCGTGATTGTTCTCGTAGGCGGAGAGCTGACGTGCTCCATTCACAGGTTTGTTGTTTTACACCTGGACGCTGTAAAATATTCAGGTAATATTTACTGAGAGGGTTCATTTACCGATCCGCTATACAGATCAATTGCCTGTGCCACCTCACGAATCAACACATTTGTCCAGCAGCTGAAAGCAGCTACCTGTCAGTGTTTTTCTGCCATCAGAAGCCCACAAGTCTCCATAAGATCGCTGAACTTACGCATTGCCGATATAAATCTTGGGAAAGACCTCGTTGAAATGTTGTGCTGGAAGGCTGTAGAAACCGCTGCCGTTGGACAGCAGCTTGTTGAGTTGTTGTATGGTCGCCTCGGTGTCTGGCACGGTGACTTCCAGTGGTCCCTTCGCGGGGCTGTGATGTTTCTTCATGCTTCAGTCCTCCAGAAGCAAAAAACAACAACAACAAGTGTTTAATGATGAAGATGTGACGGCTTTCAATTCCCCAGCATTTTATTTCCTTCCTCACTCGGTGTGGTTAGCGTGCTTTCCTGAACGCACGGCCGCTCTTTCACAGGCAGACAGACAGACACACCCGGGACTCGCCCACCGGCGGTCTGATGTGATGCTCCGGTGAGGTCGGTAACAGAACTGGCGGAAGATGGCGACAACGCACCAAGACAAGTCATTGAGAGCTGCTTTAAAGGGAACATCACTCTCTCATCGAATCCATCCGCAGTTTAGACAGGTTAGACAGCATTTCACGTGTCATTGTGGCCTGTTGTGCGTAAACCAGTGCCCATAACGCTCACTCTATACACGCAATCTGTTTTGTAACGCTCATAGATCTAGTAACACTAGTCTATTTCCTAGCAACAGCCCCTCCCTTCATTTCAGGCCAGATTTGTGTGTTAATTGATGTTGTGACAAGCAGGTTTACTGGAAGTAATTAGGATTATTTATTTATTTTTCTCTCTCCTGTTTTAATCCAACAAGTGGCTTTTAACACTGGTATGTTAACTCTGAAACGTGACCCACCTGTGATTAGATGTAATTTGACTCACAATAAGCGCTCCCATAAGTAAAATGTGTTATTATCTGGTCCAAAAGTGTATGTGATAGAAAGAAAATTAACTGAATATTGATGAATAACTGTCATAACTGTTTTTTGTTTTGTTTGTTTCCAAACATGAGTCAAATAAATAAATAATTTATAATAATATAAATAATAAATTTTTTAATACTGTTAAACAACAATACAATTATTTCTGTAGATAGCCATTGTATACTATATAGCCTGTGTATAATATTTGTTTGCTTAACTTTTTCTGTTGTTTCTTGCCATGAAGCTGGCATGGCGCTAAGTTATAAAAACAAACAAACAAGGAATAATGGCGCATGGTTTTTCATTTGAATCATAGTCACACAACACAGAGATCCTTGCAAATTTCACACATTGAAACACATTTATATTTCCCTACAGTAAATTTCAACTGAGGATTTAAAGGCCTTTTAATAGGACACTACTAATGCCCTTAGTAAGGCTTTTGAAGAAATGCATAATTCCCATTGTGTTCAATCTT